CCAGAGCTCCTATATGTATGTATAGTGAGAAAATAAAAATCAAGATTAATTCATTAAAATTAGCACATGCATGGTTAATACTGGAAAAAACATAGTTTTCAAAATTTCTCAATGTTTGTTATAAAAAGTCCACTGCACTCAACTAAAAATTAAAATGATCTTAAAAGGATAATACACGTAAAGTTTTCTTAACTCTTTTCAGCCACAGCAGCTGCAATGGAAATAAATGTTGAGTCATTTTTGAAGCAAAAACGAAAATCTATTCTTCAGATGACATGCATAATTAAAAGGTCTATGCAAGATATAATACTCTGCCTTCCCAATAAGTAGGGGAAAAAATACCTCATCACATTTTTCCCCACAATGTAACAGCACTCTTCCCACTTCCTCCCTGTGGTTACCATTTCCCTTTGTCTTTCTTTCATATCTATCCCTGCTTTCTGTGTTCTATCCCAGGGCAAATGCTGCCCACCCTTTTGATCTCTTATGGTTGATTGTCATAAGGACAAGTCAATTTTTAGTTTGCAGATGATCAAAGGATTTTTTATTCCAGTAGAAGTGCAAATCTTCTGGATCTTTTCACCACCAATTACTGGATTTTATTTGCTGATTTTCTGAGCAGCATCAGCTCTGTAATTGTAAGAACAATGGTGTACATCTGAGTAAAGATGTGCACCACAGTAAACATTTCCACACCACATTCAAACATAAGTCCCACTTTATTTCTTCATATGAAATAGCAATTCTTTTTTTATTTGTTTGTTTTTCGAAACATGCATTTTCCTATTCAGATGGCTGCTGTGCCATCAACTGGTGTTGAAGATGGAGAATCACATTCAAGAGAAACAAAGGTCTCTGCTCTGGGGCCTTGCAGATCTTCTGATTCAGGTATTGCTTTGTCCAGAGATGCACTGTCCACTAGGGATGAAGCCACAGATTCTTATAAAAGTGACTAATTTGATACAGGGGTTGGCTGCATAGATGAAGATGTAGAGACTAATGATAATT